TGTGAACGACCCCGAAACCTATAAAACTACACGGTGGAAAACGCAACTGAACCACTATTGTGGGCTGGCCCAAAGGAGAAATTACAACTGGCTATTGCGGTGCCGTTATAGGTTTGGACATTCTCTGCAGACAACCCATGGTACAGCCTTTCGCCTTAAGGTTCCAGCACCAAAGCTAGGCAAAGTTGGTTGTGATTCGTCCCTTCTCTTTGCGCCCTTGCACGAATGAGGACTTAACATGATTGTTTCGGTATGCTTTCGGTCATGTAGGTACGAAAGACATGTAGGCAATTCTTAGCATGAATAGTTCGGTTTGTATGCTTTCGGTCATTTAGGCACGAAAGGCCGGTTGGCAAGATTTTACATATTTATTTCGGATTGTACGTTTTCGGCCATGCAGGTTCGAAAAGCATGTAGGCAATACTTAACATGATTGTTTCGGTTTGTATGCTTCCGGTCAAATAGGTACGAACGGCATGTAGGCAATACTGAACATGATTGCTTCGGTTTGTATGCTTTCGGTCATGTAGGTACGAAAGGCATGTAGGCCGTACTTAACATGTTTTGTCGGTTTGTATGCTTTCGGTCATCTAGGCACGACAGGAATGTCAGCAATATGTAACATGATTATTTCGGTTTGTATGCATTCGGTCATGTAGGTACGAACGGCATGCAGGCAATGCTTAACATGATTATTTCGGCTTGTATGCTTATCATGTAGGCGCGAAAGGCATGTAGGCAGTCAGAGGTTTCAGCGAAGTTGTCAATGAGTCCTTTTACATGCCACTTTCAACAAGCCCACTCCCAAACTACTCAACAATATCCATGGACCCATGGACCAGAGGCCCTAGTTGATTTATCACCCATCTGGCTGTGTTTGTGTTTTCACTCATCTAAACCAATTTCTAGGAATTTGAGTAATTTGAGTTGTATTTTTACCCATCTGGATGCATTTACACCGCCCATCTAGTTGTAATTCGCCTTATTTTCGTTGAGCCATAAGAGCTCCGTGTAGGTGCAGGGCTCTGAAAAGACTCGGGGCTTGAGATCATGGCACATGCAAAGCCCTGCAGAGCCGTGCAGAGCCCCTCGGAGCGCCTTCTTGCCTCTCCTGCCCTTCTGCACTTGCACCTGCTCAAGGTTTGGCTTGGAGACCGCGCCACCATCGCCCGTGTAGATCTTGAACGAAATTCCAAGTGCTTCTGCAGGAAGGCTGATGACCAGGCTGTCGCCAAGGGCGATGTGCAAGTCTCTGGGACACTTAATGAAGCGACTGCGACTCGATCCCAGTAGTTGCAGCTCCCAATCCAAACACCAACGAGTACCAGTCTGAATTCGGAGACTGTTCAGCTCCAGTTCCTGACAAGGCCTTGGCACACGTTTGCGAAAGTACTTCCTCTGACGGGTTCATGATCTACTAGCACAGGCAAAGTTCGTGCTTTCGCTCTCCCAGTGGCACGTCCTGAAGCTGAAAAGCTCTGGGTCTGACATTCGACACGTAGATCGCAGGCGCTGAGAAGCCCGTTTTTTTCGCCGCAGCATCGAACAAGTCATGGAGAAGCTTTGTGCCGTTTTCTGGTGACAGAAGATCCAGTCTCTTCTCCATGCCGCGACCAGCTGACTGCCAGAAAACTGCAAACCACATCCGGATCAAACCAAGTTTCAGGCGCAGGACTGTCAGGAAATCTGACAGCCGTGTAATGGAACTTGGTAGCTCCAAATCTAGAGCATGTCGATAGGCAGACTCGAGGTGCTGGGCTTGCGTCGGCAACTGGAAGGCTCCGAAAGCTTGTGGTATGTAAACTGCAATCTTCACACTCAAAGTCGGGGTGCGGGTGTCAGGATGTGACCTCACTTTCCGCAACATCTGAAGTGCAGCAGAGAGATCTTGTTCGAAGAAATCTTCCAATACATTGCAGCTAAACCAAGTGAACTCCTCCAAATCCAACAGCCTCGGTTGCACATCAAAATTTTGGATACAAGCATCAAGCAAGTGTACAGGATCCGTTGTCTAAGAACAGTGTCACCGAGAAACCCATCACGATCCCGATCTGCCTCCGCAAACGATGCCTCGCCCGTCCACTTCGCGCTCAGGATGTTGTCGCATTCCGCTTCGACAAGTCTTGCTGCAAGAACCCAGTCGCAGGGAGACAGGCACACGGCACTGTCCGCTTTCCAACTGGCAAACACCTGTGCGTGCGCAGCCCTTGCTACTTCAGCTCATGGACATTCAGCAGCGACTATGATTGCTATGAGGCTTTTAGCTTCATTCCCATCACTGCCTCTCGAAGCTCGTGACGGATTTCCACGCAATAGTATGCTCCCATTCGCCACCTTCTTTTGGATGTAAACATGTCCGCAACAAACTGGGCTAAGCGAAGAGCTTTGTCAACTTTTGCATCGTAACTGCAGCAGCAACACAAATCGATGGGAAGGAGAACAGGCAGAGAGGCAAGAAGCAGAGCAGAGCAGAGAGGCCCGTCGGCTCCCAAAAGCGTGGCACGCGTCCCTTTTTCGTCAAAGCCGACCCGGCCTCTCGGACAGGGTGCTCGCCAAATCGCGCTTGGCGGCACCGAGCAGCTCCGGAATCGAAGGAATCTTGCGTGATGCCTCGGGCGGGTATTGACATGAAACGCCGCTGAGAACTTCGCTTGACGTACAAGATTTTTGATCATAGGCCTGCACCCAAGGCTCCACAGAATCTACCAAGCATACACGAACTGGTAAAGGTCAAAACACAGCACGACCACAACAACTCATGCACTAATGCCAAAACCTTACTGGCAACACTACGGGCTTGCATGCAAATCTGGCCGCCAACGAAAGCTTAGATGCTCCGTCACTCGATGTCAACCGTGTCGCACAGAACTCCAAAAAATTCAACATGCCGGATCCAGAGGAATCTGCCCTCAACATCTTTGGAAAAGCTTGCAGAATCCTGCGGGGATCACCTTGATCCAAACCATTCCGTATTTCCAGCTTGACATAGTCGGAACAAGAAACTTTCCCTGACTCGCTGACATCATACGCCTTGAATAGACGCTGCAATGCATCGAGTAAAGTTGTTCGGCCATCAGTGCTTGCTTGCCAGGCAGTGGTGCGTGCGATCATGTCTTCCACTGCTGGTAGCAGTGAAACAGTTATGGCACTCGATGCCATGTCAACAGGTCCCATGGCGCTAACGAAGCAAACCTGCTGATTGTTGCTTGAAATCACGACATGAGCAGCACCAACTATGCAGTGCAGAAATCCGTTCATAACTGTTTGACTATTTGGCAAGGAGCAATGCTAAATTCGCTCCGGTTGATGCCCACATGTCCCATCTGTTTGATCCAGAAACAAGCTGTATGTTTTCTTCACGGAACAAATGGTGTTGATATTCATAAAGGGGTGGGTCCAATGGGACTTATGTTTTTGGGAAGGCGGTAAAATTCAATAAGTTGTGAATGCTGATTCTTACAATGCAAAAATGTTTGAAACGTTCATGACTTATGTCCGTTTAATACTGGGTTCACCTTCTTTAATGAGAAACATTGGAGTAAAGGTGGCAACTGACCATACCCACGGGTTCAGAAGTGAAACCAGATTTTTTAACTTTACATGCAAAAACATTAAAACGCCTGTGAGTCTATGATCTTTGTCCGTTTGATATTTGGTTCAACTTCATGAACGAACAGAACTGGTTTAGAGGTAGGAATTGTCGTCGGCCAGTGGACATTAAGATACATTAAAGTTTTGCCGAGTCATATGTAACTATGTGTAATCTACCTCCCTGCCTGTGGCTTTTAATTACATTTTCAAACCTACATCAGCTCTCTCGCCGGTTCTGCAACAGTTCATGTACTTTTTTCCTCACAAAATGTTTCCAAGGAAAATTGCTGAAAGCTGTGTTGTTGTCAAAGAAACTGTTGAGGTTCACAGGGATCCTACTGAGTCCGCACCCTGAACCTAACGCAGCAGGAGAATCAACCCCTGACGACCCAGAGCAAGACCACTGTGTGCAAACGCTCTCACTTTTTTGGAAGGTGGTGAGTACAGCCAGAATCTACACTGACCACATGGCTAAAGAGCTTGCTTAGCCAACAGGACTCAGCTTAAGAGCTGACAAACGATGCATCAGCCGCACGCTGACAGAAACTGAGCGGCTTCCGCACTCTGCTCCCGGTTTGCACACCAGCAAACCACCCACCACCTGCCAAAACAACCCTGCCAAGAAGTGCCTCTGAAAACACGCATCCTCACATGCCAGACAGTAAAATGAGAGATGTCAATGAAACCCGATACAGAAAGGTCACCAACTTGGGGTTTGAGGCCTTAAACCCAACACGACAGACGGGAAACGCTGCTTCTCTTCTGCTGGGAGTTTAGACTTCTTTGTCTGTGGTTTGCGAGACGTTTTGGCTTTTAGTGGCAAGAGCATGCGCTAATTCTGTTCCTGACTTTGCATAATTTGACAACTGCCACATTTGGGCCCTGAGAAAATGCTCGCCCACGAAGTTCTCCAGTGTCAAAAAAAAACACTGTGAAGGGAAGAAGCAGCTCAATGACAAAGTCTGCTGCCTTCTAGACCTTCAATCCATGCCCATCAAAAAGGCCTTCCTGAAGTTTCTGCAGCAAAGTCGTCAAACGTCTTTTCGGAAGTTGCTACAAGGACGCAACTGTGGAATTGCCATGAATGCTGGTGCAAAAACGCGCTGTAGATGCCAGAACAACCTTGCTGTTAGAGGGAAGGGGGGTGGCGCAAAACTCAGACTACTCATGAGGTTCGTCCGTGGCCCAGTTTCCGAACCAGAAACCGGTTACACATGCAGTGTGGACACAAAATTCCCTCTATTGTATGTGTCTGAGTGAACCCGGTGAGTGTCCGTGTAACGCAATCTTGCAGCTTGTTCCAGGTCCTGGGTTTGGTGATTATTGTGGTTTGTTTTCTGGTCCCAATCAAAGGCTCAAACACTTCCAAGCCCCAGGCACTCGACACGACACGAAATCCCCGCCTGCTACGACGACCTGAGAAGGACGCTAAAAGGACATTAGGAGGACATGTGCAAATTTCTATGAGGAGGCCTTTTTTCAATACAAAATATACATGTTCTGGATTTCGTGCAAAACTGCGTGTGCTGTCTGCAGAAATGCAGAAATTTCTAGGGGCTGCATCCGAGGACCCTTCAGCGAAGGGGGCTTCGAAGCCTTCGAAGGTGAAGGGTTGGGGGGGGGGCTGAAGGGAGGAAGGCTT